CACCCCCTGCCATGGGCAGGGACAACTTCCACCAGCCCAGGTTGCTCCAACCTGGCCTTGGACACTTGCAGGGATTCAAGGGCAGCCACAGCTTCTCTGGGCAACCTGGGCCAGGGCCTCCCCACCCTCCCAGGCAGCCATTCCTTCCCAATCTCCCATCTCTCCCTGCCCTCTGGCAGTGGGAAGCCATTCCCTGTGTCCTGTCCCTCCATGCCTTGTCCCCAGTCCCTCTCCAGCTCTCCTGGAGCCCCTTTAGGCCCTAGAAGGGGCTCTCAGGTCTCCCTGGAACCCAAAATCTATCAATTAATAAATCCAAATTCCCCTCAATCAATTGCTTTAGGTTACCTGTGCTCCTGCTGAGTTAAACCTATATTTTATTTGTAGACCTTGTGCAGAACTTGTTCCCCTGCTAAGGACAATCACTTCCCACTAAATGAGCACATCTGCTCCTCTCCAAGCAAAACCCAGGAGCAGCTCAGAAACATCAGCATTAATCCCCTTCCCATTCCCAGCTGGGAACAAGACCACTCCACTCCAAGGATCTCCTTCCCTTTGGGACAGAGGGAACAAAAGGCAGCTGGTCCAGGGCAGCAGAAGAGATGGAGTTTAACTGAAGACACCAACGGGGGAGGTGTGGAGGAGCCCAGAAGATCAGAGTTCATGTGTCTGTCCCAAACCTCAGCAGCTGGATGGCCATGGAGCCAACCAAGGATTGCTGGGAATAACACACAGTGAGGAAGAGCAGGATGTGGCTGGAGAAGGGGCCACATGGAGGGAGGGCAGCACTTTCTGGGACAAACATCCTTGTTCTGGCTCCTGGAGATCAGCACAGATGAGCTGGAGAAGTGGGAATGGACCACCGGGGGATCAGGGGCACCCAAGACCCCAAATCCTCCGACCCATCTCCAGAAGGGTCTGGGAGAACAGGCTGAGCATGAGAATTAAGTTGCGTAGAAATGAAGAAAGTGATCTCCAGGGTGGGGAAATTTATCTCCAAAAAGGTGTTCCCATGAATCCCAGGACTCAGGACACCCCTTCAGCCGGATCTGTGCTGGAGCCAGGACTGAGGATCATCCTTCCTTCCTTTTTTTCTCTCTCTCAACTCCCTCTCCCCCTCCTCCTTACTCAAACCCCAGGCACCAGAAGATCAGGAACTAATTTACACCAATTTCCACCCTGAGTCTGTCATTTACCAATAAAACTTTGTAAGCTTTTCTGGACCCTCTGACTTTTGTAGCTCCTTTTCCAATCCACGAATCCTGGGTGCTCCCTTCCCTTTTCAGGTGGGGGACAGCTTGAAAAGCCTAAAAGCTACAAAAACCTCACAGAATCCCAGAAGAGTTTGGCTTGGAAGGGACCTCAAAGCCCCATCATTCATCCTCACTCAGTGTCCCGAAATATCCGGCCAGAAAAAGATCCATGGGAGGACTTAACGATTGACAAAAGCCACCACAACAACCTGCAGGACTTTTTACACCCCCCTGAGCTGCTGAACACCAAAATTAGCAGCAAAAACACACGTCCCCCCTTGGAATGTCCCTCTTGGCTCTGTGTACAGAGACATTAAAAGCAAGGAGAAGGTTTGTAAAACTCCTCCCAGCCCCCTGGTGCTCCTTCCCAGCTATTTGTTCAAAGGGCCTCAGGGCCACGGAATTCTCAGTGTGACTCAGGGAGGTAAATGTTGATTTACTGTGGAATCTCTCCCGTGGCTCCCTCCCCTCCAGCAAAGGCTCTGCCTTATTTGTTCTGCTGAGTGAAACAAAGTTATTCCGAGGTATGAAAGGAAAATTCACACCATTTTCTTAAACGCTCTTTTCTCATCCCTTGGTGCTCCACAGCTCCTGAACCCTCTTGTAGTTCAGTGCACGAGAGCTCTGTTTACTCTCACAGGCTCTTCCATCCCATTCCTGGTTGGAATTGTGGCTCAGCCAGTGATTTTCACGGCCTGTGAGATTCCTCTGGACAAACTACACATAAAAGTGCAAAAATGCACCGTTTCTAAAACTTAAATGAATGAAATCACAGAATCCTTAAGTTTGGAAAATACCTCCCAGGTCATGGAGTCCAACCACCCCCATGTCCTCAAGTGCCACATCCATGTGGTCTTTGAAGACTTCCAGGGATGGGGACTCCACCACTGCCCTGGGAAGTCCATTCCAGTGCCTGACAACCTTTTCCATGAAGAAATCTTTCCTAATGTCCAACCCTGGGGCGACTTGAGGCTGTTTCCTCTCTTCCATATGATTTAAAAGCATCAGTTTTCTGACCCTTCAGAAATAATCCTGCATTGATCTCGAGATCAGAACGTCTCAGTGGATGGAACACAGTGCAGGTGGAACCAGGGAAGTGAGGAGGGAAGAGCAGTGAAAAAACAACTCAGTAACCACTGGCACCAACACAAGGGAAGCACAAAGTGAAATCACACCACCAAACGTGACTGGAAGGCAGGACCATGAGGATGGAAAGCCATGGAGGTGAAAAAAACCAGGATAATGCTGCGCCTCTGAGAGCAACAGCACGGAGAAGGATGTGGGAGCAATAAGTGGATATAGTGGATATCTCCCTGTGGGATGTTATGGAACAGAGATGTCCTCATGTTCTTTGAGTTGGTTCGTACCAGACTCAGCACTTTGAGCTCTGAAATCCCCCCCGAAGGCTCCCAAAACATTCCTGTGGCACCATTTGGTTCTAATGGATCAGCAGGAGTTCCATCTCCTCACTGGTGCTGGGTATTGATCACCACCAATTTATCAATGTTTTCAATAAAGATCACAGGAAGTGACCAGTGGCTTGTCTGGTCCCAGGGCCATCCCAAAGCACATGGCACAGGATTGTTCTGGAATCTCTCTCACTGTGAATGTATCAATATCTTTGTCCCAAGTTATATCAAATAATCTCAACATATAAAAGAATAAAAACTACATTGATACGAGCTCTGCCAAGAACATCAATTAATTCTTTGGAAAGGATTGTGACCATGACACAGGTTATTCCTTTCAAGGAATAAATGAATTATTTGGAAAGGCTGTGACCCTGACATGGGTTATTCCTTCCAAGGAATAAATGAATTCTTTGGAAAGGTTGTGACCCTGACATGGGTTATTCCTTCCAAGAGGAGTTGGGTTCCGTATTTAACCTGCTGAGCTTGGAACTCTCCTCTGGCAAAGTGGACGCCTCAAAATGATGGAATAAGAGATCTCTGGGGGTCTCCAGTCCACCTGCTCAGAGACAGACTCATATTTGCCAGCAGCACCTTCATCTGATCCTTTTATATTTTGATCTGGATTCCACTAAAAATCTGTGAAGTTCCCAAACCACCAAGTTTTGGAGGAACCACTGAAAATGGGATGTTTGCTCTCCAGGCCTGGCCCCAAGGCACCCAGCCCTCTGCTGGCCTTTGAGAGGGAACTCAGTGGGCCACATCTCCCCTTGCCATGGATAAACTGATCCCTTTTCCTTGCCTGCCACTCCCCCTGAACTCTGGCAGCTCCTCCAAGGCTCAGAAGCAGAACACAACGAGCTGTCTGAATCACAAAGGGTTTTTTAATGCTTCCTTCATGTATTTTCCTATTAATCTTTGCAACCCCCCACTCAACTGTTGGGGCACTGCAGGCATTGGACACCCTGACCTTTACAACCACTCATTTTTGACCACAATATAACATTCTGACCAAACTCTGCTCTTCCCCAGAGGGGAAACCTGCCCAGTTAATTGTGAGGAAATTATTCTCTTGGAATAACTTGGCTGCAGGTGCTTGTTACAGGGAAGACATCAGAAAACACTAATTCCTTTTCAAAGAGGTAGAGAATTATAATTTCTGAGGGTGGCACTCTCATAACGAGCTGCAGTGATGAAGTGTTGTGTCCCCAGGATGAGGAGAGGCCTCAAGGAGCTCTTCCAATTAGGAACAGATTATGTGTGAAGCATTAGGGCAACTCCACTTTATCTGGAGTGATGGGAGATCAAACACAGGCCATCACTGCCTTCCAAACACAAACCAGAGGCTGGAAGTGTTGAGGGCTGATGATTAATCAGAGTCTAAGCTGGAATTTGCAATTATGAGTCTCTACTACAACAAGAGAAATTATAAACGTTTAAAGAGAACTTGGTGGAATCGCCCCAGGAAGGCTCAGGTGGGACATGAGGTGGAATTTCTCCCTGGAAAGGGTGGTGAGGCCTTGGCAGGGGCTGCCCAGGGAGGTTTGGAGTGCCCAGCCCTGGAGGTGTCCCAGGAAGGCCTGGCCGTGGCACTCAGTGCTCTGGGCTGGGGGACAAGGTGGGCATCGGGCACGGGGGGGATCCATGGGCTGGGAGGGCTTTTCCAGCCTCAGGGATCCTGGGATTGCAGACCTGAGCTGGGATGGTCTCCCCTCACATGGGGAGGGACCTGAGCCTCCACAGCTCCTCGGGAAGGACCTGATGGGTGAGGTGTGTCCATCCTGGGCTCCATCCCAGTGTCCCGAGGGCTCTGCTCCTGCTTTCCCTGCAGCCTGGGGTGCTTGGTTAGTGATGGAGCTCATTATTTATGAAATAATGTTTTCCAGATCTGGCTGAGCACTGTTTGAGCACAGCAGAGCAAACAGGCTCCCTGAGAACGTGGGGGTTGTGCAAGACATGATCCCCCTCTCCTCAGGTCCCTTGTCTAATTGAGCAGGGACTTTGAGGCTTTCATGGATTCAGAGGCTGCTTTTAAATCCCCTGCACAGCAATGGGGTGTTTGGCTTGCTGTTGTTTGCCTGGAAATGATACATGTCTTGAGTTGCCTTTGATTTAATTTATTTTTGTGTGTTTTAATTTCTTTTTGTGCCTCGTGTGTGTTCTGTAAGATTGGCTCGAGTATTCTGGGAATTCAGCACTGGGACGAGCAGGAGAAGACATCCTTTTATTCCTTTGGCTATGGAATACTGTGTGTGTGTGTGTGTGTAAATGCATATTTTCCATCGTTGTGATTAGTGCAAACTGCAGGAAAAGAAGGAACAACCTCAGGATCCCAGGCAAAAAATAAAATAAAATTAAGTACTTATTAGATATCGTGATTTATGGGACCTTTCTGAAAGTGAAGAAGCTTTTATGAACCAAATCTAATCCCAGAGTTATTAGGGGATGTTTTAGAACTTCATTTTAAGGAAGGAGGATAAATAGCTTTACAAGGACAAGGCTTGGGTGGATGGAGCTGGTCTCCAGAGTTCTCCCAAAATTCAAATCCCAGTGTGCTCTCAATGGAATTAACTTCTTCAGTCCTTGGATTTTCTGTTCCAGTGTGTTTGGACAGACCCTGGACAGTTTGCTGGGTATGGAACCTTCTGACAGGGAGAGTGGCAATGGGCAAAGACACAAAAATCGAAGCCCAGAAGTTTCTTCTCAGCCAAATTCCTGGGCCTTTCCTCCTCTGCTCTGGGCTCTCCTGGACCATCTCAGACATGGAAACACAGGAGGACCTTTGCCCAGGGTGGGAGTGGCCCAGTTGGAGGAGTTGGGAGGGAAGAAGGGGAGGGTAAAGGGTTTTCCTCCCCAGTCTGAGGGGGAAAGGATTTGGAAGCTGAAGGTGTGTGATCACAGAACCAGGGAATTGTTTAGCTTGGAAAAACCTTCACTGAGTCCAACCATCCCCCAGCACTGCCAAGGCCACCCAGGCCATGGCCCCGAGTGCCACATCCACAGGGCTTTGAAATCCCTCCAGGGATGGGGACTCCACCCTGTGCCAGGGCTGGACAGCCCTTTCCAGGAGGGAATTTTCCCAATATCCAACCTCTACCTCCCCTGGCACAGCTGGAGGCCGTTCCCTCTCCTCCTGTCCCTTATTCCCTGGAAGAACAGACCCCCCCTGGCTCCCCCCTCCTGTCAGGGGCTTGCAGAGCCAGAAGGTCCCCCCTGAGCCTCCTTTTCCCCAGGCTGAGCTGCTGATGCCCCCTGTCCGTGTATCCCATGGGCTGGACACGATTCCTCCATGGAGCAGGTCCAGGGAAGCTGCTCCTGGTGCATCCCTGGCACAAGCTGTGTGAGCTCAGTCAAAGAGCTCGGGGTGGTGCTGCATTTCCTGTGCTCCCAGTGGATTTTCCCAGTGCTGAGGGTCCTCTGGCTCCAGGCCCTGCTGGTGACAAGGCCCAAAATGTGTTTACACTCCTCGAGCAACTCTTGCCCATTAAAGTGGAGATAAAAGGGGAAGAAATGCGTTATCTGGGGCTTGGGGACAGCAAAGGAAGTGCCGTAATTACAGTTCTCTTTTCTGCTCTATTTTTCCCTCAGTGCTGCCTTGAGGGTTGTAATTGCCCATATTTTAATGGTTTCGGCGGAGTTAATGATTTATTTTTATAAACCAGCGATACTGAGGTATCAGCTCAGGCTGCAAAGCACAAAACAGGACTTGCCACAGTCGAGTTCCAGCTGTAAATTCTATCACAGCTCTGTTTAATTTGGGAGTTGAATTTTTCAGGGGGGTTCCATAAACCTCACGCAGTCACCAAGCTTCGCGTGCCTTGAAGTTCGTTAATATTAAATTAATTACGTAATACTCTCTCTTTTGGAAGATGAAACCTCTCTTTTGGAAGATGAAACCTCTCTTTTGGAAGATGGAACGTTCCATTTTGCTCGGATTTGGAATTGTTTGTTTGTTTGCAGCAGAAATTAAAATGTGGGCGCCGTTGGAGCTCATTTGCATGGAATTGGCCACAGGGAAGGGGTGACTCCTTCCAGAGGATACCTGGGAGATTGGAAGGAGTGACATTCAAAGCAGTTTTGTTGGAAGTGGCTGACAGGAGGGGAACACAATGTTTTGGTGTTTGGCAGATGGTTTGCCTTGGGAGAATCTTACAAGGTCTGTTGGAAAGGGAAGGAGGGAGGGAGGACGTTGGGTTTGGGAGCAGCAGAGCTGTGATGGTGATTTATTTACTGGGAGTGCTGCAGAGCCCTGGGAAAGAACAGGAATGTTGGGTTCCTGCTGGGGGGGATCATCCCTAGAGATTCCCAGGTAACAGAGTGTCTGGGCAGGGGGGCAGTTGCTGCACCAGTACCTCAACCTCCCCCTCTTGCTCCTTTTAACAGTCTCTTTTTTGCCTCTTTTTCTGGACTTAGCCACAATGAAATCAAAAGAGTTCAGATTTTTTTCTTTCTGTACTAAATAAACCTCTTTTAGTCATTATGACCCAGCTCCTAATTCAATTAGGAAATGCAGTAATTGAATTTTCTGGTGTCACTATTGCAGGTGCTGCTCTGCCTTTTCCAGCTGGGAGAGGAACTGGTTGAACTTTTTGTTTGGAAAGGGGTCGATCTGAGCTTCATTTTTAATCAGAGGAGAGGCTCAGGTTGTATCAAACCATCCCCACACGTATTTTTAACCAGCTGGGGGCCACATTCCTGCCTTGGTTACAGGCAGAGGTGACTCCATGTGAATTCAGATTTGGCATCATTATGGAATTATGGAATGGTTTGGGTTGGCATATATAAATTTTTATATATATATGGTGGAAGTGATGGTGACTCTTAACCAAGGGTGTGGGAGAGGCAGAATTTGGTGCAGTGATAAACTTTTATTTTTGAAGGATGTCGCCAAGATCTTAATTTAAAATCTAGAGGAGAAGTTCTCTTCTTGGAATTGGGTGGGATTTCATGCGCCAGAACTAAGAGCAGAATTGGAATGTGATGTCTTCAGGGGGGATAAAGGTGATCTGCATTTGTTTTTCCACATATGGGATGGGCACTGAAAAGAAAAGGAGGAGAAATGCCAGGAAAAATGGAACTGAGCAGCCAAGTAGGTGTGTCTGTGCTTTCAGGAGTGGAGTTTGTCCCGTGCCCCAGCAGTGCCACCCCTCCGGTGCCCTGAGTAGTTTGGGGTCCTTCCAGTGGCTGTCCTGCCCTGGTGGGGAGTTGCTGTCACCTGGACATTTCAGGAGTTTGGGGACAGCTGGCACTGGCTGATAGGGTGGGATGTGATCCTTGGATTTGTACACTCTGAATCATGGAATGGGTTGGGTTGGAAGGAACCTTCAAGATCATCTTTAATGCCATGGGCAGGGACACCTTCCACCAGCCCAGGTTGCTCCATCCTTGCCTTGGACACTTCCAGGGATCCAGGGGCAGCCACAGCTTCTCTGGGCAACCAGTGCCAGGGCCTGCCCACCCTCCCAGCCGGGAATTCCTTCCCAATATCCCACCTAAATCTCTCCTCTCTCAGTTTACACCTTTCCCCCTTGTCCTGTCGCTCTGTCCGTGTAAAATCCTGTCTGAGCAGTGTCTGCCCTTCACCCCTTGCCTGCCCAGCTCCTGTTCCAGCTCCTGTAGGAGAGTTCTCTGGGTGTAATCAGTCAATGTTCTTCTGGGTTTAAGGTCAAGATCTGTGCTCGTGGTTTTGGTGAAGGAAGAGAACGATCCAGAGCCTGAAGGGTCTGGCACCCCCAGCACTCCTTTCCCGAGCCCAGGGAGGTTTCAGGCAGTGTCTGCAATCCTGGGGCTGGTCCAGTGTGCTGGGAAGGAAAATGGTCTGAGAGGGCAACGCCTGTGGAAGGTGGGAATCAGCTCAGGAGAAGGTCACTGAGCTCCTTGGTGGGTTTTCTCTCTGGACAGCCCATTTCCCTGCCCACATCCATCACTGGGCACCGCTCAGCTCCTCTCATTTTGGCTTCTGCTGCCCTGAGCACAGCTCATCCTTCACCCCTGACAGCTCCAGCCTTTCCCCAGACTCAGCCTGGCCCGTGGACATGTGGGAGCAGTGCTGGCCTCTCCATCTGAGCCAGGAAAACACGGGCTTGGTGCAGAGAAAGCCTTGATCCTTCACTGTGACGTTCCCTTGCCGGGTGGGATTGATGAGCTCCAGCCCAAAGGTGGAGCAGGACAGAGGCAGAAATACTTCTCCTGGTGATTATTGGAACAAATTGCTAATATTTCTAAGGCTGATAGACTGAAGAGCAGGCAAGAGTTATTATATTAATAACTCAGACTTTCTTCTACACTCCTCTTGCTGCTGTTGGGCTCACAGAAATGTTGGAAGTAGTTTATTTACTGCAGTGACCCCGTGGTGGTTGCAAGAGTGGCCAAGGCCCCATCTGATGTCACTGACCCTTAAACATGGCAGCAGAGGCACCTCTAACTCATATATTCAAAGTATATTTGTTGATAAGGAGCGTGACTCAGTTGTTTCCAGCAGGTTTTTGTGGTTTATGAATAATAAAGGTTCTATATCCGGGGGGGGTGGGGTGAGGAATGTCTGTGTCTGTCAGGGCTCGTTCTGGATGTGTTTGTGCCACAGCA